CATTTATTTGTTATTAAAGTTGTTTGTTTTGTATGATGTAGTGAACAGTTCTTGGGTCTTTATTCACATATTATATGTCGAAATGTGCAAAACATATACAAAATTAATGCATAACTCACATAGAATATACGCAAAAAATATATAAGTTGCAAGCAAAATTGATTAACAATTTCAAATATAATAAAATACAATATAATTACGGGTATATTAATATATAATATAATTCAATTATGTTTTTCACAAAAGCATAATCGAATATACCTAATGTTAAAAAAACTATGTATAAAAAATTAGTATAATTCTTCTAATCGTAATTTTCAAACGCATACAATCTAAACTAAATTTTCACTTTAAAATATTCATTTTCTTATCGTGATACACTTCTTATTCGATTTCAGCATTCTAAAGCAAGTTTTAATATCTCATATAATTTTTTTTATTAATTTGTTCATAAAAATTACATTTACCTTACATTTATTAATGACCATATTTCCAAATAGTAGTGTCATTAATTATAAACTTTCAGGTATAATCGCAATTTATCACAATTGCATGAGTATTTTAACGATTCTTCTGTCATTAAACAAATAATGGCATAAAATAATGGTATAAAATTACATCAAGAACCAGGGACCACTTAGATTACATAAAAGTTCATATCATCGGTACCACTAGTATCGTCAAGTTAAAGGTTAATATTTTTATGCGTATTTTAAAACGCAAAAATACATAACACAATTTTAAAATCAAAATGTTCTGTGTGCAGATCTGAATTCGCCTTGAACGATCGCGAATCGTAAATTGTCGAATTTATGTTAACACTTTCTTTACTACATTATTTTTCAAAAATCTTTAAAAGGAATAAAATTTTTCTCTTTTTCGTTTCAAACGATTTTATCCTTGAGATTACAAATTTTATCCGTTTTACAATCTTAAGCATAAGTGAAATGCAAGAGATCATTTGTGTATGAGTAATGTGTTGCAGAATGTGTTAAGAAATAATAATAAGATATAAACGTTCCAGTTCAATACTCTGTATTAAAAACTTTGTATTGATCTTTATATTTTTTAAATAGTTCTATTTACAAAAAACTTACTGCAATCGAATAATTGTATTTAAATACTATAAAAGCCCAGTAAAAACATTTCTTTTTGCTACATCCGCAATTATAATATAATATATTTTTACTTTTCATTTTCACATATTTATTTATCACAATTATTTTAAAATCATTCAATTCTTAGGCCATTTATTTCTGTTGCTTTCATTCGTTTATATAACTATATAGTATTTTCTGTGTTCGATTGGTTAAGGGGAAAGGGAAGGAGAAAATGGTAAAATGGGAATAATGTAACAGTTATAATGAATGGTATTCGTAATTTTAAACGTTCGACGTAATTTTAAACGGTCCAGCCACAATTAATTCGTAGGTACAGCGGTGCAGTCTTTTTTGTCGACGAATATGAATATAAATATTCAAACGCATGCAAATTAAACCCGTCTCGGTACAATGTACATCCGGTGCAGCGGTTTGTTGTTTCAAACAGAACACAAAATTTTGTGTCAGTGTTGGTGGCAGGTTTACTGTAAAGGATTGTGCTCCGTTAGCAATGTAAAACCAACATAAAGAGACTGAATATTTTAAGAAGGGAAATCTTAATTGTTTCCTTCTGTTAATATTTAACTGAAGATATTAAAAAATAATATTTACATAAACTGCGTTCTTCTTATAGTTTGTAGAACAATTATCTGTAGTCTACATTATAAATATATACAACATTAATCATGATTACTATTTATGATTAACTTTTTTACATATTAAGATAAATAAATGATGTATTTTATATACTGATAGTGTACATGATGATTTGGAAATCAGTATAACATTTAATCTATGAAAATCAGTGTCTGTATAAATAGTGCACAGTTTGTTTCGCATACGTATGTGGTTCACCTGATAAAATCATAAATTCAAATTTCGTGATTATGTCTTTCATATCGCCAAGAGTAAGTAAACATGGAAGAGAATTATACTATAAGTAATTTCGTATATCCTGCAGGATGGACTTTGTAAATATACTGAATGACGAAAAATAATACATTGTGTCGTTTGACAGAATATTGACGACTTCGACAAAAAATGTCTAACATTGTGTTTGATTCTTTGAATAATTCTGTGTAATTATAAAATCGATCTAGACTTTCTTTAATAACCTTTATTTATAATTTTTAATTATTTTACAATACTATTAAGTTAGGAGCTTTTCAACATTTTTCAACCCAATAACGTTGCTTTATAAGATCATATGTTCCTACTTGTTTAATAACATTTCAAATGTACAAATAAACTGAAGACCATAATAGATTAAAATATATCAATTCCTTTTACTTAATTCCCACATAAACAGTAACCATCTATATTATTTATCATTAAAAGTTCGATTTCTATTAGAATAAATATAATTTACTACAATAAATCACTAAGTGGTTGAAAATAAAAATAGTTTTTCTGTTAAACCTGTAAACGTTGTATACTTCAAATAAATCTAGATTGACGGCACATGTAGTCCTACAATTTCACGAACCACTACTGTACACTTTAATAATTGCAGAAATATCTGTATGTAGTATATAAGTTATTTTATGCAAAATATCTACAAAGAAAATAGTTGTCGAAAATCAGAATTCCTTGATTCAGCACACGAAAGGTTAAAAATGCTCGGTGCCAGATGAGAACGACGCGGAGAAAGATAAACAAAGTACAGGAACGTTGTTTTTGTATCGGTCCCGTTCAAACTAGTATAGAGTAGCTCGTACATCCTTTAATCTGCACGTATCACGACTACGTGACGTTGACGATTCGAGGACACCCTTCAACGTCAAACGCATGCTCGCGCGGGCAGGACTCTCTAATGAAGTGTCCTGTCCGGTCGAGGACCTCCATTGCATATCATTTGTCCGTTAGATGCGTATGCAGTTACATTCGCCGTGCTGGCCCTTGAACCAAGTAGCTGGAACGCTTTTAACTTGCATTGAATAATTGAATTTTTTATGGTATGCATCCAACGCCGCAGCAGAATTTTCGATATTCAAAATGTATCGATCGTTGAAATGCTTTGCGAGATACTGTGTAACTGGAGAATCAGATATTTGTATGAGACCAAATACTGTTCACATGTGCTGAACTTGCAGCCGATCAATTGTGGTAGTCGTAATATGCAACTGGATATAAGGTTAAAAATATTAGTTTACTGCTAAATACTAAGCTACTTGTATCAATTATTTTTATTACATATTTTTGTGTACTAATATTTCTGAATGAATAAGGAACTTTATATTTCCATGATTCATGAATGATAAAAATGAGGAACCAAATGTGTAGATTATAATGTAATAGATATTATATTGCATGATGCAGTATATTACCATTTAATACAATACTGCAATGAAATGCAATACACCTAATATAGTGCAGTATAATGCAGTACAATAGCATACATTGCAATGCAATGGAATGCATTATAATACAGTAGAATGCAATGTAATACACATAATGGAATAAAATGATAATCATAATATGTATAAGGAGAATATATACAATGGAAGTGTAAATCTCAGTTGCTAAATCGTAACTGTATCAAACTCATATGAGACGCGTTAAATATCCTAGGATACATATATTTAAATACTTTTATAAATTTTACTTACAAAAGACTGGATTAAATAATATTGAGTAGAAAAATATAATTTAATAGCAATTATTTGATGCGGTAAGAAACGTCACCTTCAATGTTTTTATTATAAAAATTCAGCTATTACCAAAATCATGATATTATTACTGAAAAAGCAATTCATCTGTTAATGGAACTGTACGACATATTCCACAAGAAGGCTTTTGAAATGTTTTCGAAAATAATCTTCTCGAGCATTGAATTAGTTGTTTTTCGCGTCCGACTCAAGCTTCTTACATTAAAGCTCCCATCAAGCCAAAGTGAACAAACTGCGCCATCTAAGTACTTACAAGAGGATCTGTCTGTTTGCTACCGTATGTTTATCCTTACGATCTTCTTGGCTGAACACTGCAACGGAAAAGTGAATGTGAGCGTCATCAAACGAACAATACAAATATATATTAGTATATCAATGAAACATTCAACGTATTAACCAAACAGGAAAAAGGGATTAACTAAAACGAGGTCAACGAATGCTAAAAAAAGAAACATATTGCATTATTCATTAAAGAGATCCAACCGAATTTTACAAATGAAAGTTACTCAAAAACCCATATCAGCAATCGTCAGTCTCATTCAAGAAATATTAATGATTATACCAGAAGATTATTTCGCAAATCCATCAAGAACGTCATTCCATCCAAGGACGCCTAACCTTCCAAATTTTACCTGGAATCCAGAGAAAGACGAAAGTACCGGAATCAACACAGAGGGTGTTTGCAAGGCAACTCAACTCGCTGGCGAGCCTCTTAGGAGCACTTAGGGAGGCGTACGAAAAATTTCATGCATACAAATGTCAAGAGTAAGCCGAGGAGCTAGATGTGAACCACATTTGGCGCGGAGTTCAAATGGAAGGGCAGAGGATTAAGCGGGAGAGGAACATGAAAGGCGGGC